TTTAATACTATACATGTTGCGATTCTCGTTTTCTCTTAATTCAGGAATTTTAAGTCCATCAGGGACTTTCATATAAAAATATTAGCGTCTAATGACTCATATTAAAATATGGTCATGACGTACATATACTGCATATATAAATTCATAGTTTCTGCCATATTTAACTTGCGGAACGTAATATAATCACTAATAGGAGAATATTTTACATCTAAATCGATGTCGGGTCTCTACGTGAACCCATTGAGCTATGAATCTCGCTTTACATCTCACCACCTTACAATTGTCATTTATTTTTCTTACGAAGACCCATTATATCCTGCAGGGATATATGAACTACAGGTTCAAAAATACTTTAGCGAGTTCAGCTCAGCCTCAATTGCCACTTCCATCTCACCTAGTCCGAGTGCTTCAAGCACTCTATTACCGACATAGGTTCTGGATCCAGATTAATTTCGTCCTGCGTTTATTTTCTCAAGAGTTGTAGTTTTTTTTTTGTTGTGTAAAAGAGTCTTATAAAAAGGCTGTTTTCTTTGAATTTATTGTAATCAACCGAAGATATAATGAATTCGACAACAAATTCAACTTTTACTGAAAACAGTAGCCGCGTAAGTGTGTGAAGATCTCTGATTTCATGTAGCTACGTATGGTCTCCTTATTTACCAATGTTACTTGAGCTTTCTTTGACAATCAGCCAACTTGTTAGTAATTTATTCGTCCTCTGAGGATTCCTTTATGTTAAGCTATTTATTTTGAATAATTGCAATGCCTTTTTCCAATTTTATTATCATCATTGTAAAAATTAGGCTGATTCATGGAAATTTACACAGATACAGAAATGACGAAAACCAAGATTGAGATTGATACTGACAGGTTCCTAGTGAGTATTTGACATTGAGGCACAAGTTTTTGGAAACAAATAGAGAATATAAAGTCTTTGACCGAGAAGTTTCATGTTTTGTAATCAAATGTTGATGTTGTTTGAATATTAGTTCGGTACGATATTTTCTGAGTTGAAATGTTGGTAGTGTGGATTTATTACTTTGTAGTTTTTATACTATACCGATGTATGTTGGCACTTATCATTATGGTTGATTATGCTCAACATTTTCACTTTGATATTGTGTATTAAAATTTGACTTGGTCATGTTCTTAAAAAGATTGTCCAGGTAATTGAATACTATATGATTTTGACGTAGGGAACCAAGAACAACTCAATCGGAGCCGTTGCAATAGCTCAATCATAAACGCTGCAATAGCTCGATCAAAACTGTTGCGATAGCTCAATCCAAACCGTTGCGTTAGGTCTTTTAAAACTGTTGTAATAGCTATAAAAAACCGCTGCAGTAGCTTAAAAACCGTCGCAATAGCTCAGATCTAGCTTCAGATCTAGCTTCGTTTTTTCTTTATTCAGATCTAGCTTCAGATCAAAACTGTTGTAATAGCCTATGATCTTTATTCTTGATTCGTTATTTCTTTTAGATCTAGCTTCAGATCTTATTTCTTTCAGATCTAGCTTCAGATTAAGGAATGTTATTTGTGCAACTAACACATTTGTTCCTCGCTAAGACCTTATATCTAACCATTTTATGGACCCTTCATTCAGGTAACCAAGTTCGTGATCTGAATGCGGTAGTTATTTGTTATGAGCAATATATATAATGGATATTGCATTGCTATTTTCATAGTTGTTCGATCAGACTATTCTTTATTAGGTCTTTTATCTAGATATCTGATAATCATGCTTTGAGCCAAGACTTGATTATATACGAGACCTAATGACTATTCATTCTTAGCTGGATATTGAAGACTTGATTATATACCTTTGTTTGTTTACGGATTGTGATGTGATGTTAATGTTATTGAGATGACACTTGTACTTTTATGTATATCTTTATTATGCATGACCATAGATATATTTAAAAAAAATAGGTTACAAGCAGGTAAATTATAAATAGAGCAATGCCCTTCTTAATTTGTCTTGTAAATATTCTGCCTACGAGGTTGCTATTCGACTCCGAGGCATGACAAATTTATCTCTAGGGGAGGAAGATTCACATTCAAAGTTTGGGAGGGGATGGATACGGTACTGTGGGGGAGGCGCATTATAAGAAAATGGTGGGTGAACGCCCTCACTAAAGTTGTCCAATCTTATAAAAACTGTATTTGTTCTTGATATCCAGCCCTAATATTTAGGGATGGAAACGAACCAAATAATTAACAAATAGTTCATTAATTGTTCGAGTAAATATTCGGTTATATTCATTTCGGTAGTTTGTTTAACACTAAACAAACAGTATTCAGTCCAGAAACAAATAGAATATAACTAGACGTATATTTGATTAGTTTGCTTATTAAATATTCGTTTAATTTTGATTGCTTATAATTTATATTATTCAAACATGATGTTATATTTTCAACCTACTTAAATTTTTTATTTAAGTTCTATATATACTAATATTGAGAGACTTAAGGAATCTTAAATCAATTTTCTAATAAAATATTCGAATTAAATAAATATACATAATAATTGTAAAGGAATAATTTTTATTTATAAATTTAAATACTATTTGAAAATTGAACTCTTTAGCAGAGTAAATATACTTTGATATTCGATAAGTATTCGTGAATATTCATGAATATTTAACAAATATAGAGTATTCGAGTTCGAATTCGAGAACTCGAGATGTATATATTCAAGTTTCCATTCGAATTCAATAATTTTAAACAAACATAAATATGAACATCTTAGCATTCGATTCGATCGTTTACCACCCCTATAATTGGCTTGGCCGATAAATAATTAGACCTGAAAGTACTTGGAAAACATGTGTGTCCATTGGGATTAATTTCCAGCGATCCCCCCCCCCCCCCCCGGCGCCGATGCTTTGGTTGTCTCACAAAATCCCTCACGAACTTTAGCATATCTCACTAAACCCCCTTGCCTGTGATTTGAAAAAAAAAAAAACCTCTGAGCGAAAAATTCTAAGACTTTATCGCCTTGGTATTTACAAGTAACATACTCCTTCCCCCGAAGTTTGACTTTTTCTCTCAAGAAAAAATTAGTCATTTGCAAATAACATGTAGGAGGGGGTTAGGAGGGAGAAGCTAAAGTTTTGTAAGACGCCCATAGTTCATGGAGGTTCCGTGAGATAATCAAAGTTTAGGGTATGTTGCAACCCCCCTCAAAGTTCAAGAGGGTTGTGAGCAACACTTCTGTAAAAATAACCCGTGACCATTATTAGACTACATTGTAATAAATAATAAGTATCGGCTAA